GGCGTGCCCAACCTCCATGGCTCGTCGGCCGAGAAGGTGGCCCTCGGTGCCTACGTGCTGCAGACCATCGTCCACGGCGAGCGTGTCGTCGATTACGAAGGCGCTGTCGACCTCGTCATGATCGCGACCGGCTCGGAAGTCTCGCTCGCGATCGAGGCGGCGACGCTCCTTACGGACAAGGTCGTCCGTATTGTCTCGGCACCGTGCGTCGACATCTTTGAGAAGGCGTCGGTCGCGTACAAGAAGGAGGTGCTCCTCGAAGGCGTCCCGATCCTCAGCGTCGAGGCGGCGTCGACGTACGGCTGGGACCGCTTCTCGCACCTGCAGTTTGGTCTGGACCGCTTTGGCGCGTCGGCGACTATCGAGCAGCTCCGCGAACATTTTGGCTTCAACGCGCCTGCGGTCGCGGCCGAAGCCCAGAACTTGCTCGAGTTTTACGCTGGCCGTGCGGTGCCGTCGCTCTTCGACGTGCCGGCCCGCCGCATCGTCAAGGAAGGCCACCATTAAGTTTGCAGTCGCAACACGACCTGGTTTGTATTGTACTAGTATGACTCTGGACATGGGCTGTGGTAAAGCGGATGCGACGCGAGGATCGTGGAAGCATCCGAGCGACGCGCAGCGCGGTGGATAGGGCAAATTGATCAACTGCAATGTGGCAATTGCACACTCTGTCCCGACGAGACCTTGTAAAACGATCATCACGCGGCCAGCGAGCATGATTAGGATCCCCATGACCCTTCTCCGATCCCATTCAACTGGAAGGTCACGGCGCGTCCTTCCCGACGACGCCCTTCTCGATGGATTAGGTAGCGACTGGAATGTGTCTTATGCGTCCGAGCTGATAACGATGGGGTCGCCACGCACGCAGTCCTTCTCGGCCGATGCTCTCGAGGTAGTCGTGCATGGTGTTGGAGCGTTTGGGACGTGCCCATGGGACGTCGGGTGCGTCTGATTTCCTCTCATCTGGGGCGCCAACTTCAACATGGTCGGCGACGAAACAGCGTATTTTCCTGTATACAGGATACTCGACGGTCCCACCTGTACGTTCTATGGGCGGGACGGAGGAGGCGCGGCTAGTAGCCAGGAGCATGTCGACCCTTCCGACCCTCCACCTATTAACGATCAGGAAGAAGACGGACAACAGGCAAGCTTAATACGACTCGACGACGAGACAACTAGAGCGGCGGGAGGCCCGCGGCCGTGCGCAGCTCCTCAAAGATGACGAGCGTGATCATCGTATGCGGGCCGAGACGCATCCAGTTGGGGAACCAGCCCTTGTAGAGCCCGCGAATGCCTTCGCCCGCCGTGATCTTGCGGAAGGCGTCGAGCGTGCCATGGTACATGGTGTCGTTGCAATTGACCCGCCGGCATTGCGTCATCATGCGCGTCTTGATGACATCAACTACAAACACAGTTAAGCCTCGATGAACGACGGATGCGCATACCTGGGGAGGTGACGGTCGCAGCCATGAAGCCAGCCAACATGCTGCACACCGCGTGGAGCGCGAAGCCTTCTTCCATGATCTCGTTGTTGAGCAGCGTGTGCTTGGCATGGTCGTACGTCGGGATCTGCGACGCCGTGAGGAGCGCCGCGCGCTTCATGGTCGGCCCGACGCCCTTCCAGAGGCCCTTGACGCCATCGTGTGCCACGATATCCTCGACCGCGGACCGGACGCTGTTGTAGCGCGTGCCTTCGCCTTGCATGCGGATCTTGACGAGGTCCGTCGGGTTGGCGAGCGCACTTCCGAACGCGCCCGTGATTGCGCCAGCAACGACCTTGAGGTAGAGCGGTGTGTGGTGCGGGTCGGTCGCCCCGAGGAGCTCCTTCATCGGCTCGTACGCACCGAGGCGGATGCCCGAGTAAAAGCCGTCGCGGACTACTGACGGCAAGAGGCCCTTGTAGAAGCCACGGATGCCTTCGCTGCCAAAGATGGTGCGGGCGCCGCCAACGAAGCTCGGGTACCGGCGGGGCATGTCGCGGGACGCAGCGAGCTCGCCTTCGAGCTGCATGCGGACCTTCAAGACGTCGATCGGGTTGGTGATCGCGGCCGCGCTCGCGTTAGCGATGCCTGCCAGTAAGATCTTGGTCCCGATCGTCGGCGGCGCGGCCACGACGGGCAGCGAGACCACGGTCGTCGTCTGCTCGGCTTGGAAGCTCATCTTGAAAAGTGGCCATCTTGCCGTTCCAGCATCATCCGGAAACATCGCCCGATCATCCGGATACGGACCGCGGCCCATTTTTTATACTCGTTGGCTTCGCGTGCACTTGGTATTTGTATGTACAAACGTCGGACAATAAAATAATTCCAGTGGCTCATACAGTGGTTGTGCACATGTCGCAAACCAGGGCCATGACGTGGCAAGGCCATTTGGGTGCACGCGGACGGTTGGGTGACTTTTGACTCGCCCCACGCGCTTCCTTTGCAATGCAATGACTGCCTCTCGCTTGCGCTCGTAGCGTCGGAGCGGCTACACGCATGTATAATATGTAATACTGTGCACCAGTAGCTCCAGCGAGCCGTGAGGCAGGCTGCTCCGCAATCGGCCAATTTGCGGAGAAGGTGCAGCATCGTTTTGATGAGAACGCAGTGATGAGAACGGTGGTTCAACGACCAAGAATTCACGACAGTCGCTGTCGCACCCTTGTTGAATCCAGCTGTACGACCTCGGCTTCCACGGGATGTGGCGCGAGCGTCCACGGTCCTGCAATTACAACCCCGAGACAACCAGCGAGCAAGAAACTGCGAGCAAAAACAACACACTGCACACCAAGATGTTGCGATGTTGAGCCCGTCCGACGTCGCACGATCTGTCCGACGTGCGGTGGCGACGCGACATGTTCGCGTGGTGTGCCCAGTGCCGTTGCATGGAACCGACGTCTCTGCAAGCAGTAGGACTCCTCCGACGTCAAAATGGATCGACTCGAGAACATGAAGTAGCATTAGCACGCATCTGTCTCGCCTTCATCCGTCCAACCCTATCAATGGTGGCCTTCCTTGACGATGCGGCGCGCCGGCACGTCGAAGAGCGACGGCACCGCGCGGCCAGCATAAAACTCGAGCAAGTTCTGCGCCTCGGCCGCGACCGCGGGCGCGTTGAAGCCAAAGTGTTCGCGGAGCTGCTCGATCGTCGCCGACGCGCCAAAGCGGTCCAGACCAAACTGCAGGTGCGAGAAGCGGTCCCAGCCGTACGTCGACGCCGCCTCGACGCTGAGGATCGGGACGCCTTCGAGGAGCACCTCCTTCTTGTACGCGACCGACGCCTTCTCAAAGATGTCGACGCACGGCGCCGAGACAATGCGGACGACCTTGTCCGTAAGGAGCGTCGCCGCCTCGATCGCGAGCGAGACTTCCGAGCCGGTCGCGATCATGACGAGGTCGGGCTTGCCGGTGAACGCAAGCTCGACCTTCCCACGCACCACGTGCGAAAGCACGTAGGCACCGAGGGCCACCTTCTCGGCCGACGAGCCATGGAGGTTGGGCACGCCCTGGCGCGAGAACGTCAGCACCGACGTCTGCGTCGCATGCTCGATCGCGTCCATGTACGCGCCCGAGACCTCGTTGCCGTCGGCGGGGCGGTACAAAAACATATTGGGCATCGAGCGCAAGGACGCGTTCATCTCGATCGGCTGGTGCGTCGGGCCGTCCTCGCCGAGGAAGATGCTGTCGTGGGTCGCAATGTAGAGCACGCCAAACTGCGAGAGCGCCGAGACGCGGACCGCGCCGAGCGCATATCCGATAAAGTTGTAGAACGTCGCGCAGAACGGACGCACGCCGCCGTGGGCAAAGAGGCCGTTGCAGATCGCCGCCATGCCGTGCTCGCGAACGCCAAAGCGGAGGTACCGGCCGATCGGCGTGTCCTTCTGGAAGTCGCCCGACATGGTCAGCTTGGTCAGATTCGACGGCGTGAGGTCGGCCGAGCCACCGACGAGCTCGGGCAAGGCCGCGGCCGCCGCGTTGAGCGCCTTCTCGGAAAACTGGCGCGTCGCGAGGCCCTTGTCTTCGGGCGTAAACGTCGGGAAGTTGGCCTTCCAGCCTTCCGGGAGACGGCCTTCCATGCGGCGGACAAACTCGGCGGCCTCGGCGGGAAACGCGGCCGCGTACGCGTCAAAGCGCGCCTGCCACTCGGCCTCCTGCGACGCGCCGACCTCGCGGCGGTCATAGTACGCGCGCGCCACGTCCGGGACGAAGAACGGCTCGTTCTTCAAGCCAAACTTCTCCTTGATCGACGCCGTGTCGTCGGCCTTGAGCGGCGCGCCGTGCACCGAGTGCGTGTTTTCAATCTTGGAGCCGAGACCGATCGTCGTGCGGATCTTGATGAGCGACGGCTTGTCCGTGACGGCCTTGGCAGCGAGCACGGCCTTGTGGAGCGCCTCGAAATCGTAGTTGCCGTCGTCGACCACCTGCACGTGCCAGTTGTACGCCTCGTAGCGCTTCGCCACGTCCTCCGTGAACGAAATGTCCGTGTGGCCGTCGATCGTGATCAAGTTGTCGTCGTACAAGACGATGAGCTTGCCGAGGCCGAGGTGGCCCGCGAGCGACGACGCCTCGGACGTGACGCCCTCCTGCATGCAGCCGTCGCCGCAAATGACGTACGTGTAGTGGTCGACAATGTTGTGGCCGTCCTTGTTGAACTCGGCGGCCAAGTGCTTCTCGGCGATCGCAAGGCCGACCGCGTTCGAGAGACCTTGGCCAAGCGGACCAGTCGACACCTCGACGCCGGGCGTGCAAAAGTTCTCGGGGTGGCCGGGGCACTTGGAGCCCCATTGGCGGAACGACTGGAGGCTCTCGATCGGCACGTCGTAGCCCGTGAGGTGCAGCATCGAGTACTGGAGCGCGCACGCGTGGCCGTTGGAGAGCACGAAGCGGTCGCGGTTGGCCCACTTGGGGTTGGTCGGGTTGAAGCGCATGACCTTGCCAAAGAGCGTGTGGGCCATGGGTGCACAGCCCATGGGCGCGCCGGGGTGGCCCGACTTGCCGGCCGTCGGCTGGTCGGCGCCAAGCATGCGCACCGTGTTGACGCACAGCGTCTCTTCGGCGGCGGTCAACGGGCGAGGGCTCATCCTGCGGTGGTGGTTGGTTGTTCCGTTGGGAATCTTGAAAATGGACCGCTCACAAAGATATGTTCCTCTCAAAATAGAATTCTGGATATCAATTCCTAGAGGTGGGTTTTAAAACTGATTTGATTTGAGTGGCCACCGACTTCAACTTGGCCGGCGGCTTACACTTCATCGTTAGGCCTCTTCCATGACGTGGCTGAATCTTGGGCCACGAACCATTATTTTGGTCATGAGCCAAGACACCGAGTAGAAAGGTAGGAAAATTTAGTAGAGGCAACTTCCTGCAGAAGAAGCTTCCACAGTCGACACGAGTCGTGGAAACACCGTCCCTTATTGCCTGGACGCAGCTCACTGTTAGGCGTTCGCCAGTGCACGTGTTGGCACCAGCAATGCAAGTGCTACATCTTCCGAGACGGTGGGTCCGTTTCTGTGCCATCTTGAGACTCAAATAGCATGATGGATGATGCGTCATCGTGGGTGCTCTCTGGACACTTCGCGTGGCTGAATCGAGTCTGCAGCGTCAGTCGAGACTTTACTGGTGCAGAAGGCTGCTGCAGCTAGATCGCTTTGACGTGCTGCCTCGATCGAATTCCTCGTGGCACAATGTCTAGGTCTCGATTCATGTACTAGGACATTGTACATCTCCAACGGCGGCAATGTCCTTGAACGCCTTCCTCTATTGTGACAAGATGTATCGTGTATGGTAGAGCTCAAGTATGCAGCTACACTGGTTCATCGCTGTCGTCGTAGGACTGGGTGGGAAGGACTGGGTGGGAGCAATGCCCCACGCATGATCTTGATTGCGTCGATGCCATTGGCTAAAAATCCACCAATCATAACGCCGCTGCATCTTGGGGCGTCAACGCTATAGACGATGGATGCTGCTCCTGTCGTCGTCGCCGTCGTCGTCGGCGCTATCCTCCTCCTCCTGCTATGGCCGCGCCGCCATCTCTTTGATCTCAAGGACAGGGTCGTTGTCATCACCGGCGCCGCCTCGGGCATCGGGCGCGGCTTGGCCATTGCCATGGCGCAGAAGGGTGCGATCGTGGCGTGCTTGGACATGGACGCAGGTAGCCTCGCGACGTTCGCCCGCGAGCACCCGCGTCTAAGCCACACCTTTGTGTGCGACGTGTCCGACCACGCGTACGTCGCCATGTGCCAATGACTTGATGCTCATACATTCCACCAGGCGCGTCGTCACCTGCTTAACTGAAGTCGTCGCCGCTCTCGGGCGCGACGTCGACGTACTCATTAACAACGCTGGCATCGTCCACGGCAAGCCGCTCCTCGACTTGACCCACGACCAAGTCCAGAACATCTTTGGCGTCAACGCGCTTGCCCACTTTTGGACGTCGCAAGCCGTGCTGCCGGCAATGCTCGCGCGGAACAATGGCATGATTGTGACCATGGCCTCGATCGTTGGACCTCTTGACACCTCGAATGTGTGGTTTATGCGGCAACGTAGATGGGGCTCAATGGCTCGGCGCGGCTCACTGACTATTGCAGCTCCAAGTTCGCGTGCGTGGGGTTCCACGAAGCTCGTACGACACCCTCGTCCTCTCGGCACATGCGCTGACTCATGTGTGCATGCACTAGTGCGCATGGAGCTCCAGCATTTGGGTAAAACCGGCGTGCATACGCTCCTCGTGTGTCCCATGGCGGTCGACAGCGGCATGTTCCGCGGCATCTTTGCCTCGGACCACTGGTGGCCCCGCTTTGTGCACGCCTACTTGATTCCGATGATCACGGTCGATGACGTTGTCGCCACCGTCATCGAGAGCATCGAGTGCAAGGACTACGAGCTCCTCACGTGTGCGCGGTCGTGGCACCGCTGGGTCTTGCCGCTCGTCACGCGCGGTGTGCGGCTTTTGCCCGTCGCTCTCATGGACGTTGCCCTGGGCCTCGGCGGCGGCCGCGATGGCATGAACAATTTCCAAGGCCGGCACGGTGCGGCTGCCACGTAATACAGCGAGGCTGACGTCCCAGTTCTATCAAGAACGCGACCGTTTTGTGGTCGAGAAGGGTGAGATATTTCGATGCATGTACTGTCGTACAGACCAGACGCGAGAAGCGAGACACGTACGGCGGGTCGTCGACGAAGCTTCTGCCATGACGTTGGTGATTTTGCGTCAACCACACGGGCTTCAAGCGGATGTTGTGAACTTGGCACGTGAATGCAACGGCGAGGGCGGTTAGGGGTTCAAGGCAGCGCCGCCAACATTGCCTTTAATGGGTCACTTGTACTGCATTGCACACGAAGGTAGATGCATGCATTTCGATAGCCAAGTCGACGTATCAGCAAGGGCGTTATCGATCCTCGGCGTTCGTTGGTCATATAGGGAGGCTCGGGACACCGTCTTCGCGGCCGAGTTTCTAGAATCGGCCTCCGCGTGGGTGGTTTTGACCAATCACCGTGTTGGATACCAAAGTGGCGCGTTTCATTGGCTCCAAAGAAACACGCGCAGTGTGGGGTGCGTAGGATTTTAGCCAATCCGGGAAGTGTCCTCGTTTCGCCCTACTTTTAGGGCGGCCCCAAGCGTCGCTTCGAGTCAATACAAAGGCCAAGGTCGAGATCTTTGTTGAAATTCGGCTTCCCAGTCGGTATTTCTGGATTTGCTCAAGGGACGAGAAGAGATGTCGGAGCGGAAGGCCGTGATCAAGAACGCCGACATGCACGAAGACATGCAGCAGGACGCGGTCGACTGCGCGTCGCAGGCCCTCGAGAAGTACAACATCGAGAAGGACATTGCTGCCTTCATCAAGAAGGAGTTTGACAAGAAGTACAACCCGACGTGGCACTGCATCGTCGGCCGCAACTTTGGCTCTTACGTCACGCACGAGACGAAGCACTTTATTTACTTCTACTTGGGCCAGGTCGCGATCCTCCTCTTCAAGTCGGGCTAAACACGTCGATGATAATATCACATGCTGCGAATGTACAGCAAGGGACGTCTCTTGCCGCCTGCTGAAGTAGCGATGGTATAAGACAAAGCAGGCAAACGAAGCCCTAGCGGGCGAACGGAAGCCATAAGGTGCCTCATGGCGTTAAACCCCGCGGGCGTGTGACGGCCGTTGGCAGTAGCGACAGAAAGGCCAAATCTTCCGAGTCACGACGGTGATGCACAAGACCGACAGCGTCGGCGTAAAAGACGGCGTTCGTCTTGCTTGCTCACTGCTGCAGTGGGACGGCGCTTCACCCCTGGACGCATGGTGTCCTGCCACTACGATCTTAGCGGTTGAAGAGTGTGGTGAAAAAGCTAATGTAGCGCTTGCATGGATAGTTCTCGTGCTCGCCCCTCGATCGACTAGCACGACTAGCGCTTCGTACTGACTCAACCGCCTCTGGTAGCAGCTCCATGCTTCGCTGGCTGCGTATCGGCGCTTGTCGAGGACGCATGCGACCACCGCCAACAAACCGGCAAAAACGAAACGCCCAGAGACCAACTTCCCGACTAAACCACTAAACCAAACGACACGACTAAACGACTGAACGACTAAATGCCTTAACGACACATCATCGCACGATAAACCGGACATTCCGGATAAGTTAACATGGACCAATCAGCGCGGTCGGCGACGAGATCATGTTTCTTGTCCGTTTTGAGCATTCGGGAAGATGGAGGACTTGATCGCGGAGGCGGTTCGCGCCGAGGGCGACGAAGGCGACATGGTCCGGCTGCTCATCGACATCGCGGCCCAAGCCGAGGACGACGTCGGCCTCCGGACGCAGGCCATCAAGGTCAGTGGGCAGCTCGTCCGCCGCCGGTGCGACGCGCTGCGCCCGATCGACCACGCGTCCATGAGCAAAGGGCCGATCCAAGACCCGCCGGCGCTCGCCGGGCCATATGCACTCGTGGCAACCTACCTCTCGCTCATGAAGAAGCTTGTGGCCGAGCCAGGTGACCAGACCGCCCAGCTCGCCGAGGTCGTGCGGACGCTCCACGACCTCCTTGTCGCCCACACCAACCCGTATGACGTGTACAGCCTCTGGGACGCGCTTGAAGCCAATATCGGCGACGCTTTCACCGGATTGCTACTGCAGCTGCTCCAAGGCGTGCTTGTGACCGAGTTGGACCCGGCTGCCAGCATTCGTCGCCACGTGTTTGTGCTCCACGGCCCCCACGCCGGTATCGTCGCGCCAGCGGGGGCGTTAAGCTCGACCAAGAAGGGCTACTCGTTTGCAACCGGGATCCTCATCGAGCCTGGAACGCCCGTCATGTCGCTTCTAAGCCTCCGCGGGTCCAACGGCCATGGCGTCACGGTCCTTCTCGACGGCGACTCGCTCTTGCTGGCCACCCACACGTCGAGCGGGACGTTTACAAAGCTGGTCGTACCGCTGCCGAGCCGCCGGCACATGGAGCACCACTGGACGCACTTTTGCCTCGTGCACGCCAAGAAGATGGTGTTTAAGGACAAGATCTCCATCTACATTGACGGAGCCCTCGTGTACAGCGGGAGCTTGCCGTACCCTGACACCGCGCAGCTTGTCGACGGCCACAACTGCATTGGCACGATGCCGCACTTTCCGTCCTTCCAAGGTCGCCTCTGGCTTCCGACGTTGTTTGGCACGGCGCTCAGCGACGCCGAGGTCGGCCAGCTCCACTGGCGCGACGGCGCACCGCTGCTCCGAGCATGGCTCTATGAAAATGTGGGGCTGCCCGACAAGACGCGCTTTGTCTACGCGTACGACGCCCGGGCCTGCGCGATCGTCGCACGCGCGTGCTTTGACGTGAGCCGCAGCAATGGCGACGGCTGGCTCGAGCCCGGGACGGTGCCCGTGCGCACCGTGTCGCTGCCGTCGGCCATCCTGACCCTCGGCGGTATCACGGCGATGCTCTACGGCTTGGTCCGCGATCCAACGTCGATCACGGAAGCGTCGGCGTTGGCGTGCCTCCACACACTCATTGCCGGCCTGCGCGTGAGCCCTCGCTGCCGTGGCCACTTCGTCCGCACCCACGGCTCCAAGGTCGTTGCGTCGATGCTCCACGCGCTCCCATCGCTCTCACTGCCGATGCTGCATGCGATCAAGGAGCTCATTGATGTGCTCTCGACGGCCGTGCTTTCGCCTCGACTGCGCTCGATCGTTCTCGTCTTGCTCGTCATGAACGCGGCGTGGTATCGCACGCCATTCGAGACGCAGCTCGCCTTGCTCTCGGAGACGCTCCCAACATACCGCGAGCTCCTCGAGACGGCCCAAGGCGGCGACTACACGGTCGTCGACGTGAGCTACTGGTGCGGCGTCCTTCGGCGGTGGTATGCTACGTCCACGAGTCTCGCACTCGACGAAGCACGTCTGTGCTGCAAGCTTGTGCTCGAGAGCCACGTGGAGCCTCGCCTCTTTCCAAAAAACCCAGCCGCCGCCGACCCGTTCTTGCAGCTGGTCGTGTACTTGGACGACCGGCTCGCGCACCTCACGGCCGCCGACGCGGACGTGGTCGAGATCCTCCGTTTCTTGGCGCGTGGACTGGGCGACGGAATCAAACCGTCGGGGCCATCGTCGCCACCGCCGATGAACCGGACGCTCCGGCAACTGCTCAAATGGACGCCGCCGTGCGTCTGGTACAAGTGGCTTCGAACCCCACTGGCCGCCATTCGCCTTTTGCTGTTACAAACCTTTGAAACGATGATGCTCACGCTCCCACTTCGGTATGATACCGCAACAAGACTAGTCTAACGACATGTGGGCTTATATATGATGTAGGTATGCCGACGCCGTGCTCTTGTCGCGAGCTTGCAAG